TTCAAGAAATTCCATCTCAGTCAATGACTGGATACAATGGCATGAGCTTATGTTCCCCAGCAACAAAAGATCAACCCAGTCCATCAAATAACTAATACAGAAAGTGGCTGGAGGCATGACTCCTGGGTCCAACCACAGTTATTTAAAAAAAAAGAAAGTAAACAAAACGAAAGCAAAAAAGGCAGGGAGTTTATGGTTTAAGTGGTAGAGCATTTTCCCAGCAAGTGCCAGGCCATGAGTTCAAACCCCAGTACCACAATAAATGAATGAAAAAAAGTGTGTGCATGTCTTTGGGACTTGAACTCAGGACCTAGACATTGTCTCTGAGCTTTTTTTTTTTTTTTGGCAGTCTTGGGATTTGAACTCAGGGCCTGAGTGCTGTCCCTGAGCCTGGTCACTCTCCCTGAGCTTCTTTTGCTCAAGGCTAGTACTCTACCACTTGAGCCACACCTCTACTTCTTATTTTTTGTTTTTTGAGTAGTTTACTGGAGATGAGAGTCTCATGGACTCTCCTACCTAGGCTGGTTCTGAACCACAATTCTCAAATCTCAGCCTCCTGAATGGGTAGTATTATAGGCATGAGCTACTGGAACCCAGGAAAATGCGCTATCCCATATACCTCAAGGTATTGAAAAGGTAAGTGGGCATTAAAATGAAAAATGCAAACTAGTAAATTTTCTTGCCTGGGTTTTTAATTTTCTCCTCATTTCTGTTGTACAGAGTTGAATCAAGTTCCTTTAACCCCAAAGTAGAATGTTTGAACTGGAATGATTTAAATTCCTTTAGCCTAGGGAAGTGAGATGACGTGACTTGGCCTTGTTCTTTACTAATTTGGAGATCCTGTGAGGCCTTGCCTGAGTAGCTAGGATTACAGGCATGAGCCACCGGTGCCCAGCTATGCCTTGGATTTTTTTCTCCCCAGGCTCATGCTTATGTAACTTGGACCTTTTTGTTATAGACTTTTTTTCCTCTTGGGAACTAGACATAGTTATGAAAAATGTTATTGATTGCAGTGCGGATGAAGTTCGCAGAAAATCTCTGGTTCTAAAGTTCCCTAAACAACAGCTTCCTCCCAAAAAGAAACGACGGGTTGGAACCACAGTTCACTGTGACTATTTGAACGTGAGTATCTATATTGCCTCCTGATTAAATGTGATTTCCCCAGTCTTCTGTGACATAGCTCTTGATATATTATCCTCTGGCCATTCCTGAAAATTATTCATACTGTTTGCTATAAGATTTCTGTAATATTCCTTGATCTAAATATTACAGGATCTAAAACATTTTGATTTCTTGTTTCTCTTTAGAGACCTCATAAATCTATCCACCGGCGCCGGACTGACCCTATGGTGACACTATCATCTATCTTGGAGTCTATCATCAATGACATGAGAGACCTTCCAAATGTGAGCTCATTGCCTTTGGATTTCTACAATAGCAAAGCTTGTTGTTTTATCTATTACTTCAGGTAGAGGGCAGTAGTGTATAAAATTAGGTACTTGGAAATCCTTTTTCTTTGGGATGTAGTTTTATTTGTTCCTTTTTTAGTAGCTTTTTATATAAGAAACAGACATATTGCATCTAGATTCTTTTGAGAGTTTATGGCCAAGGAGATGAGTAAGTGTGAAGTGTTCAAGAATTGGCTCTGGCAAGTTTTCTTTTCTTTGTTCATAAAGGGTGCTGCTGCTTCTTTTTACAGACATACCCTTTCCACACTCCAGTCAATGCAAAGGTTGTAAAAGACTACTATAAAATCATCACTCGACCAATGGACCTCCAAACACTTCGTGAAAATGTGCGCAAACGCCTCTACCCATCTCGGGAAGAGTTTAGGGAACATTTGGAGCTAATTGTGAAAAATAGTGCAACCTACAATGGTAACAATGACTTTTTACTTGACTATAAAGGTTACCTTTCACATCCTTACCTTACCTTATGCTTGCTTTTCTATATTCAGACTAGTTTCCATTAATTGAAAGATAACAAAGTATTAATGCATTTATGGATCTTAAAAAAATCAGGTTGTGTACTTTTTCTGTCATTTAGAAAGTATTGGTTTTTTTTTGAATTGCAGATAGTTTATTGACACGTACATGGTTTTAGCTGCAGTTTAAATTCACTTGAACAGGAGACGATAATCAAGTCAAAAGAATAAGTGTTTGCTAATCTTCAGAAAATCTGTCAGTATTTGGGCTGTCACGTAGAAATCCAAAATCACTCCGGCCAGGTCTTAAAGAAAATTCGTCCTCTTATAGTCCATATGGAATGGACTATAGAATTCTGTAGATTATCCCCTTCTAGTCAAACATGACCCATTGGCACCTAGCAAGCATGGGGTCTTGAGTTCAAACCCTAGCAATAACTATAGTTTTTAAAGAAATCTGATGGACTAGTGGTAAGGATTTTGTCTCCTTCCAGACTAAGTACTTGCTTACAAATATTTGACTTTGGATCACTCGAACTTTTTGCAATCACAATGTCACCTCTTTGGATACTGTAAAAATGCCAACTAAGATTTTCTGCAAAGACAATATCTGAATTATGAATTGGAGGCTCCATTGGTGGTCCAGGACACATTACAACACCACCAGCATATTCAAAAGTACAGTGGGCTATACAGCCATACTGAATAGTATAGCCAACAAGTCGAAAGGTTTTTCCCAGAACACCACGAAGCATAGTTCTATGTTGAGTCTGCTACCATTGGCCCTAGGTATGTTTTAAAATACATTAAACTTTTAGAGTAATCACAGGCTTTCCAGAAAAACAATCTAAACCATGTCCCAGAGCAAATGCAGATGATCCATAATTTTAGGATATCTCTAACCCCCAAAATCCCAGAAGACCTTCATCCTGAGATTCAGGTTTCTCACCTGAGCCCCTCACCAGTTCTCCCGAAAGTATTGGGTTTTTTTTTTTTTGTTGTTGTTTTTTTTTTTGCCGGTCGTGGGGCCTGAACTCTAGACCTGGGCGCTGTCCCTCAGCTCTTCAGCTCAAGGCTAGTGCTCTACCACTTTGAGCCACAGTGCCATTTCCAGCTTTTTCTGCTTCTGTAGTGCAGAGGAATCAAACCCAGGACCTCATGCATGCAAGGCAAGCACTCTACCACTGAGCCACTTTCCCAGCCCCAAGTATTGTTTTTTATTACCATTTAATTTTTTTTCAGTTGTGTGGCTTGAACTCTGGGCCTGGGCACTGTCCCTGAGCTCTTCAGCTCAAGGCAAGCGCTCTACCACTTGAGCCACAGCGCCACTTGGGTTTTCTTGTGATTAATTGGAGATAAGCATCTCACGAGCTTTCCTGCCCTGGCTGGCGTTGAACCATGATTCTCAGATCTCAGCCTCCTGAGTAGCTAGGATTACAGATGTGAGCCACTGGTGTCCAATTAGAAGTAATTTTTATTCAATAACATTATTGAAATATCATATAGTTTGTCCCTCTTTTTACACAAATGCAGTGTATTTTGTTTTTGTTTTTGTTTTTTTAAATTTTTTTGGGTCCGGTTGTGGGGCCCGAACTCTGGGCCTGGGCACTGTCCCTCAGCTCTTCAGCTCAAGGCTAGCGCTCTACCACTTGAGCCACAGCGCCACTTCTGGCTTTTTTCTTTTTGCTTATGTGGTGCTGAGGAATCGAACCCAGGGCCTCATGCATGCAAGGCAAGCGCTCTACCACTGAGCCACCTTCTCAACCCCAAATTCAGTGTATTGTGTATTATTTACTTTGTATCACTCTATCATTCTCTTTCCCTCACCCGTTATGGTTTTGAATTAGGACCTCAAACTTGCTTGGCTTTTTTTTGCTCATAGCTGCTACTCTACCATGACTCCCTTCTGGATTTTTTGCTGTTTATTTTGAAGATGAACTCTCAGTGCCCAGGTTGGCTTTAATCAATGATCCTCCAAATCTCAGCCTTTCATGGGCTAGGCATAAGCTTATAGGCCTAAGCTGTCAGTGCTTGGGATTTGTTTTAACTTTTTACAGAACTCTGACTTGGTCATTGGTCAGTGTCTAGATCACCTGCATCATTTTACAATCTCATCAGCTCTTGTCATGTACTTCATACAGGTTCCAATTTCTTTTCATACTCATTAATACTTGTTAGTGTCCATCTTTTTTATTTCAGACATCCTACTGCATATAAAGACTCACCAGCCTAATGGTGCTGAAAATCTTTACATGTTCTTGGAAATCTTTCTTGAACTTTTGTGCATTTATTGCCACCTTTGACTCTTCTTTACTTTTCCAGAAATCTTTTGTAATAACTTCTTTTTATTCATTCTCATTACTTCACTCCAGTGTCTGCTTCCCTTCTGGGGAAATATGTTGCTTCTGCTTGTCTGCCAGACATCTGTTTCCCACTGCCCTACTGGCAACTCATCTAATTGCCTATTTCGATTCATAGTATTAATATCTAGTTCTGCATCCTAGACGTCAGTCATAATTGGTCCCATCCTTTTTTTCCCACACTCACAAACAACCAAGTTCTATAAGGTGTATCTTTCTTGAATTACTCTGTAATTATTTTTCTTTGCCATTTTGGGGCTTGAGCTCAGTGCCTAAGCACTGCCCCAGTTCTTTTTTGTTCAAGGCTAGTATTCTATCACTTGAGTCACAGCTTCATTCCTAGTTTTTTTTTGTTTTTGTTTTTGTTTTTTTTGTCGGTTGTGGGGCTTGAACTCTGGGCCTGGGTACTGTCCCTCAACTCTTCAGCTCAAGGCGAGCGCTCTACCACTTGAGCTACAGCGCCACTTCCATTCCTAGTTTTTTTTATGCATAATTGGAGATAAGATTATTATGAACTTTGCTACCCAGGCTGGCTTTGAACCTTACTCCTCAAATCTTAGCCTCCTAAGTAGCCAGGAATACAGGTGTGAGCTGCTGGTGCCCAGCTTACACCATTTTTACATACATTAAAAATGATAGTAAAGCTTATTACTACAGAAACAATGGAAAAGGAAATAGATTATGTGGCATCATATACTATGAGAAAACGGCACTTCATTCCAATGGAGCATTTCACAAATTTTTTGTCATCCTTGTGCAGGGACCATGTTAGTCTAGTCTGTATTGTTCCAGTTTTAGTATATATGCTGCTAAAGTAACAATCTTTGTGCATTTTTCCTTTTTTTTAAGGTCTTTCTCTGTTGTGTACTTGCTAGACTTCTACTCTGCTTTAATAATTTTTTTTTAATTGTGAGAATACCATACAGAGGAGTTACAATTACATGGGCAAGATTTAATAACTTTTAATAATATAATAATAACTTTTAATAACATGAGTCAGAACAAGCCTTCCTTACTCTTCAAATCTTCAGACTTGATTTGTTATAAAACAACTTAGATATTTCATGTGCAAACAACGTATTTATTGTAGTACAGGGGTTTGAACTCAAGGGCTTGCATTTATCCAAGTGCTTTATTACTTGAGCCACACCTTAGCCCAACCGTCTTGTTAGTATGTATTGTTACCATCATCCCTATGTATAAAGTGCTTATACCCTGTCTTGCAGTAATATTATTTTCAAATCATTTTCATTGGCTAATCAAAGAACTCTCTACAGTAGGAACTCTTGTCTTATTTTTCTTTACATTCTTCTTATTGAACATGTCATAGTCACGTTTAAATGTGCTAGATGAATAACCAAATTAATGTTGAATTAATTAATGAATTGGAAATAGAACTAAGGTTTAGGCTCTGGAGAATGCTAACATAGATAGAGAAAGGAGGATAGTCAAGAAGATAAACTAGCAAATGATACTAAAAGAAAGTAGTCAGAATTATTAGTTAGATGAAAATGTATGTAGTTTTGTTGTTTGTGTTTTATAGCTTGAGCCTCATTATGTATTATAGGTTGGCTTTCAACTCTTTGTCCTCCTGCTTCAACCCTCTGAGTAGCAGGGATTATGAACCTGTACCACTAGGCCCAGCTTAAAGTGTTTGTTTGTTTATTTATTTATTGCCAGTCATATGGCTTGAACTCAGGGCCTGGGCGCTCCCTGAATCACTTGAGCTGTAGCTTTGTCTGAGTAGTTTATTGGAGATAGAAGTCTCACAGACTTTCCTGCCCAGTCAATGGATTTAAACAGCGATCCTCAGATCTCAGCCTCTTGAGTAGCTAGGATTACAGGCATAAGCCACCCATGCCTGGCTAATTACTTTTAAGATTAGTTTAAATTAGAACAACCATAAGCAGAGACTATTGGGAATAAGTCAAATATTGGAAGAAGTTTTTGAATTTCCATTAGGGATTTCAAGGAAACTGAAGTACAGTTTTGTGTGTGGGTTATGGGGCTTAAAAACTCATGGCGTGGGTAGTACTGCTGAGCTTTTTTGCTGAAGACTAGAGCCCTTAGCACTTTAAGTCACAGAGCCACTTCCGATTTTCTGGGGTTGATTAGAGATAAGTGTCTCCTGGACTTTTCTTTTTTTTTAATAATATTTTATTGTAAAGATACTGTACAGAGGGATAACAGTTACATGAGTTAGGTAATGAGTACATTTCCTCTTGAGCATTGTTACTCCCTCCCTTGTTTTTCCCCTACCATCATTTCCTTCCCTAACTCCCCAACTGCTCTCTTCCCTCCCACCCCCGAAGTTGTAAAGTTCATTTTCAACATAGTGTCTTGTATATCTCATTGTTACAATGGGTCATCCTGTATCCTTATTTCAGCATTTTATTTTCCTTCCCCTCCCCAAATTAGAAAAATGTATATAAGATGCAGGGTACAGGAATCAAATACAGTGAAAACAGGGTTATACCATGGGGGAAGAACATACAGAAGAAACAAAAGAAATCATATAGTACATTATAAGTACATTAAAAACAACAGCAAGAAAGGTAAAACCTCTTGTGTCCCTATCTTGGGGTTCATTTCACTTAGCACCATCTTTTATTGTCATATGTGCATAGCTTTTGAACTTTTCTACTTGTCTGGTAAGATTATCCTACATGTATACTAGTTATTGTGAATAAGGGAAACCATGGGACCTGTTTCTTTGGGCCTGGCTTCATTTAATATTATTTTTTTCCAAGTCTTTCCATTTCCTAACAAATGGGGCAATGTCATTCTTTCTGATGAAGGTACAGAATTCCATCACACACACACACACTCTCTCTCTCTCTCTCTCTCTCTCTCTCTCTCTCATACCACATTTTCTTGATCCATTCATCTACTGAGGGGCATCTGGGTTGGTTCCATATCTTAGCTATGATAAATAATGCTGCAATAAACATAATTGTGTTAGTAGTTTTAGTATGACCTTGTTTGTGATTGGGTAAAAGCCCAAAAGTGGGATTGCTGGGTCATAGGGGAGCTCTATGTATAGTCTTTGAGGAACCTTCATACTGCTTTCCAAAGTGGTTGAACCAGTTTACACTCCTACCAACAATGCAGTAGGGTTCTCTCTTTTTTTTTTTTTTTTTTTGGGTCCGGTCGTGGGGCCTGAACTCTGGGCCTGGGCACTGTCCCTCAGCTCTTCAGCTCAAGGTGAGCGCTCTACCACTTGAGCCACAGTGCCACTTCCGGCTTTTTTCTTTTTGCTTATGTGGTGCTGAGGAATCGAACCCAGGGCCTCAGGCATGCAAGGCAAGTGCTCTACCACTGAGCCACCTGCCCAGCCCCTTTCTGTTTTTTTTTTTTTTTTGACTCTTCATTTAATTCTGATTTAATTTTTTTTTTTTTTTTTTGGGTCCGGTCGTGGGGCCTGAACTCGGCCTGGGCGCTGTCCCTCAGCTCTTCAGCTCAAGGCTAGCGCTCTACCACTTGAGCCACAGCGCCACTTCCGGCTTTTTTCTTTTTGCTTGTGTGGTGCTGAGGAATCGAACCCAGGGCCTTGAGCATGCAAGGCAAGCGCTCTACCACTGAGCCACCTTCCCAGCCCCTCTGATTTAATTTTAATTATTTGTTTCCTTCCGTCTTCTGGATTCAGGTTTAGCTTGTTGCTCTTTTTCAAGGAGCTTTAGAGGCCTCATTAAATTGTTGGTTTCAGATCTCTCCAATTTGTTGATACAGGTACTCAGAGGTATAAGCTTGCCTCTGAGTACTGCCTTTGCCCTTTGCTATGTCCCAGAGGAACTGGTAGTTTGTGTGTTCATTTTTGTTAAATATCATGAACATTTGACTTTGCTTTCTAAGCTCTTCTATGACCCACTGGTAGTTCAACATTGTGTTGTTCAGCCTCCATGTGTTACAGGATTTTCTTTCTTCTTTTTTTTTTTTTTTTCTGGTTGTGGGGCCCAAACTCAAGGCTAGCGCTCTACTACTTGAGCCACAGTGCCACTTCTGGCTTTTTCTGCTTATGTGGTGCTGAGGAATCGAACCCAGGGCCTTCTGCATGCAAGTCAAGCACTCTACCACTGAGCCAACTTTGGTGGCTTTTGGTGTTGAATTCTAATTTTATTCCCTTGTAGTCTGAGAGGTTCAAAGCCAGCTTAGGCAGGAAAGATCGTGAGACTCTTATCTCCAGTAAACCACTAGAAAAACCGTAAGTGGTTTGGCTCAAATAGTAGAGCACTGGCTTTGAGCTGAAGAGCTGAGGGACAGCACCCAGGCCCAGAGTTCAAACCCCACGACTGACAAAAAAAAAAAAATGGGTAGATGTTTCCCTATTTATCTCTCTCTCTCTCTTTTTTTTTTTTTTTGCTTGGAGAGGGATGTTGTGTTTCTGTGGTGGAAATTATATATAGTTGTAACTTTTGAGATGATCTGGGTTTGGCTGATAAGTAGTCTGAACCTTAAGGTTAACAAGATGGGCCCCTTGTACTCAGTCAAAATGGAACCAACTGCAAGATGGCTCAGATATAAACCATTAGAGATCAATGGACTGAAGAAAATGGAGAAGAAAAGGGTTAGGATTGGAGAGATATGAGTTTAAATTAAGAAGAAAAAATGGGTATAATGATATTAGAGGGGTAAGAACAGCTTTTAGAGGATTGGTATGTGTAGTAGGAAGAGACTAGAGACCTTGTTTCAGAGTGTAAGAGGTAGAAAAGAATTTGAAGAAAGATTATATAAGGAATAGCTTAGAAAAGAAATATATATATATATATATTTGGGAGAATTGCTGATATTAGAAAAAGTTTTATTGAATATTGGAAAGTTGATTAAGATAATTCCTGTAATTATTATGTTTACATACATAGAAGACCTTACTTTGTGTATAGAACTAGACAGGTTAGCTCTGATAGAGTAGTAGTATAATGTGGAGAGAAATGAAGAGAATAGAGTGAGAGAAAATAATTAGAATTAGGAAATTGAAAAGTGGAAGAGCTGGGTGCCGGTGGCTCACGCCTGTAAGCCTAACTATTCAGGAGGCTGAGATCTGATGATCATGGTTCAAAGCTAGCCCAAGCAGGAATGTCTGTAAGACTCTTATCTCCAATTAGCCACGAGAAAACTGGAAGTGGCACCATGGCTCAAGTGGTAGAACCCTTGCCTTGAGATAAAGAGCTCAGGGACAGTGCTCAGGCCCAGAATTGAAGCCCCATGAGTGGCAATAAAAAGAAAAGAGGAAGAAAAAACTAAATTATAGTGAAAAAATAGAAGATTTAAATAGCAAATCCTAAAGACAAAACAAAATCACAAAGAATCAAAAACAAACATTTTTTTAAAAACCTAAAAAAAATCTAAAGAGTGAGTTTTTTGGCTTGTTTGGGGGAGCTTGAGTCCTCTTTGTCCTCTAAGGCGATTCTTGATAAAACCTTGTATGCCTTGCAATAATCTGCTTTCCTTATATCTTGGTTGGATCCAGATGGCCTTTTGACTGCTACCTAGAATCCCACTCTGAGGCCTGATGGCGGGGAGTTGGGGAGATTTGGATTTGTAGTTTGCTATCACAGGCATGGAGCTCTGTTCCCAGGCTTCCCAGGGAGCCACAAGACGTTTAGGAACAGAGCTTAGATCAGTGTTCACTTCTGATGTGATTCCTCCCTTTTGGGCTGGGGGCTTGGGTCAGAGGGCTTTGGGACCTTACAGAGGAATGCCATCCCCAGGGAGTGAAGCCAATTGGGTTACTCACAAGATTTGTAGCTGGTGGTGCACTAGACCACAGAGCCTGTGTTGTGGCAGCCAGGATGGTGCTGGCGGGTTCTCAGTGAGAGTG